GACTACAGTATTTTAATGGGGGGGGTTAATTGCAATGAAAATTGGTGTACCGAGTGTAAATCTGTATGTCCGCTTATGTCATGCATGTTAAAGTAAGGTTTGGTCATTGTTGCCCAAAACCACCAACAGGGATTCCTGAAGGTGCCCATGCACTGTGCAAATTTCGGCTGCTTTTTGAGTAAACGGACAAAATTCACACAGTGTGCTGCTTTTGGCCGGCATCCCTCTTCCAGTTGAAGGGGCCCGCCGGAAAATCTTCGTACGATCAGAGAGGGCAGCCAATAAGCTGCCCTCTCTGATCAGATATTCTGACGGGCCAGCATTCAGCTTCAGGCTGTCTACGCATCGGTTGGGGAGAGCTGGTGAAGGCAGCAATGTATTTAAATGGCAATGCAGCCATGCTTGACAAGTGCTGTTGTATTTGACGTGTCTCCCCCTACCCCCATTTTATTTTTTTCTAAAGACTGTAAAAAAACTGAATTGCTTCTGGAAAAGGAGCGTGTTGATTGCACTTTTTCTTGCAGTAAAAATAAACTGCTTTCAAAATTTCTGATGTTGTGCTGTGGATTGTGTACACATTAATTCATCTAGTTAAGCTGAAAACAGAGTAATTTGGGGCTTTTAGAAAAAATTCACCTAGTAGAAATAAGGAGTCCTCTGTTTTTTTTTTATTTTTTTTTTTAAAAGAGAAAAAAAAAGCACACATTGCTTTGAGACAAAATTGTCTTGCAGCTTCAGACCCTGACACCTCATTTTGAGATCTTCATAATTTCAAAAATGTTCTATATGCTATTATACAGGACTATATAACTAAATGGCTTCTGCAGTTTCTATGTAATAGCTTCTATCTAATAGCACATGTTTCACTGTAAGTCAGTCACTAGTAATGCTGTACAGAATACATTATGTGCCCTTGGTAATATAGGCATCTAGTGCAAAACTTACTGATTTGTGTGATAAATAAATCTGACTATTATAGATTGCATGTGTTCCTTGGTACTTTCCTGTAGTACAGAAAACCAATAATACCTCCTTTGTTACCAGAGTAATGTTAAGGCAAAAAAATGACCTTGGTACATCCAGGTGCTTCCAAAGTAAAGCCAGATCCTACTTGCTGCTCCCCATGTAAACCTTGGGGCTATGATCTTGTCCTGGGAGGACAATCGCAATGGCTTGAGGTGCTAATGAATAGTGGCTTTGCATGCTAAGGGATTTATGCACAAGCTAATAGAAACAATGAATGTAAGTGTACTGCTCCCCAAGCAACAATGACGGGTATTGTTGCATAAACCTCAAGCTGTAGAGAAAGAAGTCTTCTTCTAAGCATGACTTTGTATGCTGTATACTAACAAGCAAAATGCAAATCGGTCTCCAGATGGTATATTTAGTAAACGAACATTAACTTTAGCGAAGACTTGACTGTAACTGAAGCAAAGGCTTAGTGTGTGTAAATAAGAAGTGATCATCTTCTATTTGATTCCTTTTTGGTCTTACGTTTGCCATTGTAAGCATTTAGTTTTACTCAATAAGTGTTAGGTTTTTTTTATTTAAACATTTGCTGAACTTGCTGTACTCTCTGCCTTTGTTGCAGTCTAATCCCTCACGTGGTTCCCAGTGGTCTGTGGACTACAAAACTCCTCTCACCTGCTATGCAGGAGAGGCCTGGTTCACACCTGTACGTTTTGTAGCGCGTTCAACGCTCTACTAACGCTCTACAAAACGCTCAAACATGAAAATCCTATTGTTTTCTATGGGTATGGTTCACACCTTGCCGTATTTCAGCCCGTCTGAACGTGCTACAAAACGGCCTACGCCTGAAAAGGTACATGAGCTTCTTTGCTGCGTTTTTGTCGCGCGTTTCCATTGGGATGCAGCCAAGTAGCCCTCGGAAACGCACGTTTGTCGCGTGTTTTTTAATCACGGTAAAAATGTGCGTCACGAACACGCGACAAACGCGCATATTCGATACGCCTAGGTGTGAACAGAGCCTAAGTGTTTTGTATTCCTCTTGGGTCCATAAATATGTTATAGTAAGTGAGTGCTGCCAGCCCTGGAGAAGTGTTTATTGAAGGGATTCAGGTAAGAATGATTTCAGCTGCCATATCTAAATACTGGTATGCTGCATATTACACTTTTAGTCTTTTTACAACAGCCTGGGGCAGGCAACCTTGGCATTTGACTCTGGTGAAACTACCAACCCCATCATGCCTATGGGATTCACGCTTATCAGCCTTGCAGTGCTTTGTGGTACTTTAGTTCCACAACAAAAGGACCAAGGTTCCCTACTCCTGAGAAGGACAATTGGGCATGATCCAGGA